CGGTATCTCTTCGACTAGATATAAAAACGTTAATAACTTGAAAATAGTTATCACTCATATCACATTAACGGGGTGTATCTATACTAAAATGACAATAACTTGCGCAACACCAGTGCAAAAGTCGGAATCTTAAAATAGTTGGTGTAATTTGTTTGCATGAGTTGTACGGCAAACGTCAATTTTAAAATCGATTTTACGTTTACAATTTTATGAAGTTTTTATTTTTGACAGTAATTCCCATTCTAGATATTTGGTATGGCGCTGTGGTAGAAGCAGTGGAACATCACAGAACAAGAATGTACGTCGCGTGTGTCAAAATACACCGCACGCAGCAGCAGCAGCAGCAGCTGATCGTTGTGCGTGCGGCTTACTCGGAGAAGCGCTGCCGCTGTCACCGGGCAAAAACTTTTCTCCGGAGGGTACGGCTTGGCGTTGACGTGAGAAACGCGTCAGGTGCAGTCACCGCGACCCAGGACGTCTCACGCACACCGGCCGCGTCGTCGGTCCTAGTCGGTCTCGTGCCCAACAATAGCGGCGACCTGCGGCGAGTTTATTGCCCGGACCATTTGTTTTGGCCTGTAAAACTTCCCTTAGCGCAGTATTGCTGCCGCTGAAAACGTGTAATACTTCTCCCCCGTAGAGCTGTACTTACAACAATAACGAAACCCTCTCTCCATACTCTGCGCCCGTAAAATAACAGCGTGTCTGCTAATTGCCCGTCGTTTGTCTTGTCCGATACGACGAGCGGTTACCGCGTTCGGCCCCTGAGACTCCGAGAACCCAAAACGTATAGACTGTTTCGGCGTACACCCAAAAACACATGCCCTACATCAGATTTACACAAAAACCCTTAAAAAACACGTAGTTATGAGAAAACTTGGAAATAATTCAACTAATTTATTACATACGATCAAAGTGTATCATTCTACGCGAGTGATGCACTTAAAAACGTACAAAAACATACTTATTTCTGATTGAAATTTTCATAACAAGTCATAATTTATCTCGATTCCGTAACCGTCCGTTGAGATTGCGTTGCCGTTGTTCGAGTTCGAACGGACCACATTGGAAGTAAATTACATAGTTGAAGACGCGTACGCGAAAACAGTCGAGATAAAAAATAAAAAATAATTTTCCCGGGCACTCATTAAATATGTGGATACATTATTGTGTTGGCGAAAACATAATCATTTTCGGCTACCGATTTGCTTTTTACAACGCCGGACGACTCAATTATGAATATCTAGTCTTCAAATATTATCTCTGACATCGCTACGCATGCAAATTCTAAGCGCTTGACCTTCAAGTGTAAACGACAAACGATTCCCACACGTGTCCGCCGGTGGTAAAATGTTTCGCCGTCAATGCAATATTATGTCATGAACACGACGGTGTAGAAATGTTTATCTGTCACGATCCGTCGATGAAAATTAATTATCGTCGTGTACAAGTACTGCGTGTGTATGAATGTGAGTGGGTGAACTTTGTGAACTACGACGTATAGGCACAGCGTGTCAGAACAATCCGGTGTTTTAAAGGTTGTCCGGAGATTACCATCGTTCAGTTGTTTGGGTACGAAAAAACCACCAATTCGTTCTTTCGATGCGCTCAAAGTTCTGTCGACGGAGAGACAAACGCTGTTTACGAACGACCATTAAACAAAACCAGTATGATAGACTCCGATAATCACAAAAAGCTTTTATTGTCGCCCCTAACATTTTTTATTCGTCCATACAATACACGCGGTGATAACAATAGAAAAAGTTGAAAAATAAAATTCACGATTAGTTCCGAGATTTATGTTTGCCTTGGCCTGCTGTTGGAATTGTCTCGACTACACTTGCCGCGCGCATGTTCAGTTACCTGAGCAATAACATTTGCCCGTGAAACTGTCGTCAGGTCTGCAACACAAAAAAAGTACAATGCAACAGGAAATTAGAGAAAACAGACAGTGCGTACACCACCCTCGGGCTGTACGTGAACAAAAATGCGGTTTTCATTTTGGTCTGAATGAGATGATTATGTGGAACCATCGCCATAAAGGAGGATGGTTAATGTTGCAATATTATTGCATGCTCCGGGCAATCGTCTTTTTATCGCGCTAGCCGTTGTCATTCACCAACAATGGACACAATAGAAATAGGCCATTACAGTTTATACGTTCGTGGTCGTAACTATGTAACGTCACCGCAAAGACGTTTTGTGCCGCGGTCGTATCCGCGTGTAGTGTTGTTTTAGGTTATCGCAAAGAGATTTCGACAAAAAACAAATAACGCTGCGGTGAACGCATTTCTCGCAAAACGTCATTTTTAGTGCACTCCAACGAACATTCATCACGCACCTTTGACTTTTTTTACAATATCTGCGCAGGTTTCGTGTTCCGCGAACATGATCGCTGTTGCTCGAAAACAAACATTTCACATCTAACCCGACCCCGCCCTCGGTCCAATAGACCGACACACCTGTGACCGGTACGAGGAGTTCAGCCAGGGCCGGATTTAGACTTTTGGATGCCCGGGGCAAATTTTTTTTTTGAGGCCCTTAACAGTAAAATAAAAAAATACTCATTATCGAAGTAGTTAAGGAAAAAAGTTTTAAAATTTCCAAACTTGCACTTTATAACTATCTACCTAAAACGTGTTTATTTCAAGTTTGTTTATAATAAAAAGGATAACCAAGATACGTGAAAACAAAATAACACAACGACGGACGGCCTGCACTAGAGATGTGTCGTTCGCGAACGAACGGATCGAATTGAATGGGTCAAAATAGTGAACGAAATGATTCAGATCGCCGAACCGTAGTGATCCAGATACCCCAAAAACTAATTTTTTCCCGTATAAATCACACTGTACCGATTTGATCGCTTACCAAATATCAATGATAACATGATAACATATTTATATGTCATTTGTTTATACGACACATCCCTAATCCGAATCGCGAATCATACATGCGATTCGCGAATCGAGAACGGCAAAAGAATCAAAACTATACTGAATGTTCCATTGACTCAAAATATCTTTTAGATCGCGAACGGGTCTTTAAACCGGATCTTCTAGTTGACCTGATTCGAATGAATCGGATCACTTAGGTGAACCATAATTCCCATCTCTAGCCTGCACTAATCGCTATTATAATATGGTATCGAGATTCGTAGAAGTCAAAGTCACGTCTTATCAAACACGGGTACTACCACCACGCTGTTTAATAAAAAATGACATAATCACTCGAACGTTTGTACCAATATACTAAAGTATTATATTGTGTTTGCTGTATGCCCTAATGTCGTTCTGTTATCATGTGACGTATGTCGGTATCAATTTTGCACCCCAAACTATATAAATACAAAACAATATTTATTTTTTAAAGTTGATTTTTTCATAAGCCGAGGGTTAAAAAATTAAAAAATTTTTTTTTATAGTATTCGGCATCCGGATGCCCCCAAACATCTGTTGCCCGGGGCAAGTGCCCTTAAAACCCTCCGTCAAATCCGGCCCTGAGTTCAGCCGTTTCTCGGTCTCGACAAATAAGAACGGAAACTCGTTGCGTTTGGGCTGCTTGCCGTGTACACTGTAGAAGCCAAAACGAGTTCATTCAGTGACATTTTAAAAAAAGTTAAATGACATTTCCTCAAGGGCTTGCACACATATCGAACTGACGATTTTCTCGACCAGTTATTTGAGTTATTTTTAAACTCTCGCGATTGCTAACGTCGACGTCAAGAATAAATTGCGATCTTCGATTTGACTAGTCGTTTGTAGTTAATTATAATTTCTTCATTTCACATGTCAACTTCAGTCCGTCAACCTAATTGTCAACTTTTTGTGAAAAACAATTCGCTTAAAAAACAGTCCAATACGAAAATTAATTGTTGACAAGTTACAGAAAAATACACGAGAGTTTTCAAAAATATATTGTAAAACTTGTTTTTTATGTTATCATATCTATCATGCAAATTGAGGAAATTATCTATTTTCAATGTGTTCTTCATTACTCGGAAATATATATTTTTTTGTCGAAAATTACAAAATAAAACCACAACCGTAGTAGGGGTTAAAAACAGTTGTGTCGAATGACATTGGCATGAGACGATTGGACTTACTCTGTGCTTTAGTTTGTACGTTGTAGGGATATCAACTGTTCAATGAATATTAAAACAGTGAAACTACGTATATGGGACAATTACTATACGGTCACGTGTTCACGTTTTATGGGATGTACTTAATATAATAGAAATATATAATTAATATGGCTGATGGCGCATCGTTAGATCAAGTTGAATGTTTTATTAGCCACCGACGTTTGGCCACGTAATTGACTGAAATCGAATGACAAAAACAAAACGAAACCGTCGAGGGTGAACAAATAGAAAATGTCACCAAAGATAATCAATTACGACAATTATAGTGTATAACCCGTACAACATAATGCACAGGTAAGGTTATAATGCACCGCGTCCATGGCAACGCTCGGCAGCGGTTAATTATTTATTTATCATTTACACTCAAATTGCCCGTCGTAATTACGTTCATTACCTACCGTTATTACTGTTGTTGTGTTTGTTGTATAATAGCTGCCAGTCGGGGGAGGCGGTGACACTTGACGCCCTATGACCTCGTGCCCGCCGCCAGTACATAATACCAACGTACCTAATACGGGAAGAGCGCACGCCGTTCGATTTACAGTATAATCGAAAGGATTTTCATATTAGTTCAGTACACGAGCACGTCGCACACACTCATTTATGATATAATGTCGTTTGACAGCCCCGAAAGGGTGCGCATTGTGTACTGATGAAATCACGATTTTGTTTTATAGGCTTTTTTGCCTGTCAACCACCAGATATTGCGTGCGGAAGGGTTACAAGGACGATGGCTAAAGGATATTATGCGATCCGGTCAACTAGATGGACATCGTACTGGTTCTTCAATCCGAAACATTTTTTTTTTTCGATTGATCGAATCGCACGCATAAAAAATAAAAAATAAACGTCGAGATGATGTGATAATGACAACAGAGTTATATATATATTATATATTTTTTTATATACAACAGACAGTTTTGATGATCATAGGGAACATATACAATAACAACAAAAAAAGGTAAAATACAATTAACTTTGGGACAATAGTAAAAACAATAACATTTTTCGCCATAAATCTAAAAAAAAAAAATGTACAACATCTTTCCGTTTACATCATTTTCATACATAGAAAACAAAAACACAATATGCAATTCTACACACGGTTTAAATAATACGTTTTTACAAATATATTTCATAGGACATTGCAGTCGAGCGCATACAATTTATTCGCGAAATAATAATATGTTAATTTTGGGATTTTTTTTATTCAACGTGAAATTATATGCGCACGAGAATACACACGATTTACACATAAATTAATAAGTATATTGACATTATTTTTAGCGTTTGTAAATCTCAGAACTTCAATCTATAAAGGACATACTCGTACAACATTATCTTATTATATGAATATTCGGATTATCACATGACATTTAAATATTAAAACTAGATTTTTAACGATTGGAAAAAAAATTTTAGTAAAACCGTTTTGCTGTGAATATTTATGTGTAATTATTTACAAAATTTATTTACACCCGAAGAAAGCAAAATTATTACAATTCTGTACAAAAGTCTTTCTATGTTATGATTATTATTACTATGAAGATAATATTAATTCACTTCTATCCTACGCACAAAAATTTGTGTCTCGCGTTTAATATATTTATTTTATAATAATTTATTTTATGAACTAAATACGAACAGAATTCGACCGTTTTTTATTTTAGAATTTTGTGTTAATTATTATAATTAACAAGAAATCCTATTAATATATTATATTAATTACATGTGTATGTGTGTGTGTGTGTGTGTGTGTGTTTGTGTGTAATAAATAGAAAAATTCAATGATATAACACGTTACAAATACATTTGTGTTGACGTCGTTTATCTAAAACATATAGCACATACTTCGTGATGACTTTATGGCACGATTTGTGTTTATACTTCTTCTTAATAATGAGAAAATGCTATCATGACTTCGCAAATTACCTCACTGTAGACAATAACAGTTGAACGAGCTAACAATCGTTTAACTGGATTTGGTAAACAAAGCTCAGATGATCCAGTGGCGATAAACTTTTGTGATGTCAGTAACGAAAATAACTTGGGCAAAATAACATTGTGCGGACGTACAATTTGCTCTATTGTTACCAAACTAAGCCTTCACTTTGTAAGTTCGGTGCATCTGAAAAACCGCTACTGCTTCCACCTGTATCAAAAAAAAACACAAAAATAAGCAACTGTGATTCTATTCCGAATATTTATTATTATTATATTCATTTAGAATATAATATTGGTATCCGTATGGTTTATTTCGAACTAAAGTTGCGTATAAAAATTATTTTTCAAAATTAGAATATTTTACTAAAAATCAAAAAAATTATTATTTTTTCTATAAAAAAAAATAATGTTTACCATTTAATTTCTCGGTTTTTAAAGTGAAATATATTAATTTTGTATAAAGAAATTATGGAAATCGGCAAATTTTGTCAGTATTTATTTCTTTAGAATGGCCTACTATAGCGAAAACGTGTAATTTTTATAAAATAAGTGTACTCGCCTTGGGAACCCAAAAACTCGGAAGGACTGCCTGGCCTTTGGGATAAAAGCTGATGGTCGTTGGCCTGCTGTTGTTGGTTGATGAAACCGGACGGGGCGTCTTGACCCATTCCCGAATAATCCGGCCCCATACCAGACATTGGGTTTGAATCCATGCCACCTGCACACAACAGACAAACGAGACTTGTAAGAAATAGGTAATAAAAAATTAATTTAGAAAAAAAATACATAAAAGAAAAATAATAACATTCTAGCTTTTGCTACTTGTTTAGTTTTTTACATCCATATATTAACTTGTGCAATCTACATAAAAAGTTTATTGTGAATTTAACTGCCAGGTAAAAATATTTACAACGTATAATCGCCAATAAAAAAAAACTTCTACTAATCGGATTATGTTTGGAAATGAATATGTACACATAACACACAAGGCAAATTATATCGTTTGATTATAAATTTATGATGTAGTCGCTATAAAATATAAAATAAACGTTATCATTTCCAACGGTGGCACTGTACAATATTGTATCCGACATAAAAATATGATAAAAACTTAGTAGCGTACGGGCTTACTGGCAGTCAAAGCAGTTGAAATCGAATTCAACTTAATAAAAATACAAAACCCACACATACCACAGACCCCGTAACACCTACTCGCACTACTGACTGTAAAGAACAAGGACATTGATTTCTCCGACTTACCGGGGTGTCCGAATGGTCCTCCCGGTCCACCTGGATGCGGTCCGTGGTGTCCGAAGAAGTCTGGATGGAAAGAACCCGGGCCGTAGCCAAACTCGAATTTCACTTCAGCCGAACCGGCAAAGTACGGGAACCCGGACTGTTGATCGTCCAGCGACCCTGGACTCATGTTTAACGGGAACCCTCGCATTTTGCGCGCTCCACCGTAGAACGGACCCCGTCCCATGGACGTCAACTGCTTTAGCCTTCGTTCTTTGCTCCTCTTGTTCTGGAACCAAACCTGTAACCAAATAAAAACATACAACCCGTTTAATAACTCGTGCAGAACGCGTTTAAGACAACTGGCTACACAAACCCCGCGTGAATATCTATCATATACCGATTCAATTCTAACGCGCCGCCAATAAATCACTTTGTGAGTAATTTTTTCCCCCTAACCTAACCCAACACGGCTCGTTTGATTTGTTAACATGATGCGAACGCGTTAATGCCTCCGACGGACATGTTTATGCGGCGTACTGCAAACGCATGTGTAGGTAATTATTATTCCATGCTGATAATGAACAGCGGAGCAGAGTGTGCATGTACTAATCGCCTGTTTAACTCGTCCTGCGCCAAAACCCGTTCCCTTCTGCGGCTAATCCGCGTACACGTCCGAACCGCGTGTACATAAAACTGATACATTAATATCGCTGTTGTGTAATATGATGATTATGTATTTGTGTATTTGTAGAAGACGGCCACTGTGAAACAAACGACCGGGCAAACAGACGACGCAACATGGACGACGCGTCCAAAGGCAAAAACAAAAAAGTTCAACCGGCCTAATGTGTTTTTAATGATTTTTCTCTACACTGCATAGCATACACGAGACGGCTAAACGAGTTTGATTGATGATCGATCGTAAACCGGCTACGTCTTCGGCGGGCGCTCGTAAAGGAAAATAACTCTGTGGATCGTTGCCGTGACCTCAAACGCAGCAGCACGGCCGATTTGGCTTTTGTTTCATATCATTTATGGTTTATATGGCGCACAACCACAACCCCGGTCGCGGTGCGGTCACAACGTTATGCCTACACGAGCGTACCTCGTGAGAAGACCTCCCCGACAGTAATAACAATATTGAAACGAAAAACAATCGACTTGGCGAGTCGCGTTTTATTATTATTATTGTTATTACATTACTCCGACGTACACTTTAAGCGATGACCGCAATAACTCGTATGTAACTTTTCTTTATCTCGGCACAGACCCGCATAGTCGGTTGTAAAATTTTCTTAAGGATTTTTGTTCGACTAGGTTAGTTTTTCAAAAAAAAAAATAATAAAAAATACTACATAAACAGCGTGCACAATAACTCAAACGAGCGAAAAATAAAAGTGCGAAAAAGTGTTTTTATTTATTATCGTTTCTTTGCAAACGAGCCGTAACTTCCATTGTTTGTACTGTGTATATTTATTTCGCGCAAAAAACTAATGAACGCGGTAAAATAAATCTTTACGCGCATTCGAAACACACTGTTGGTCGATCTACACATCCGCTGAAGAGCCAGTGTCTATACTTTGAGTACACAAGGAAATAAGGCCGTGTATTCGCGAGGCAGTACGTTCTGTTTTTAATTATTATTGCTATTCCGTTCGCAGTTTGTTTTTATTTTGTCGCGATACGGTGAAAAAAAATCTCAGATCGAAATATCCGGAGCTGCAAACGTGAGCGTAATCGTAAAAAATACCGAGTTAGAATACTGGACTAGGAAAACAACGGGGGGGAAAAAAATGAGAGAATAAACTCGAAGCGCGCAGAGAGAAGAAGAAAATATAATTAAAAAATCGCACGGTTTCCTGACGAGGGATCCGACGCGGAACGCGCCGACGTGTTAATCTATCGGGTTATTACATTCGGTGCTGTGTATTTCATATACAGACGCAGACAGTTCAACCGAGAGCGTTAAAGTATTATAACATTTTTTAATATTTCGTGCCCGGAGTTCAACGTTCCGTAAATATGTCGAAACGAAAATCGGTTTCGTGTTTTATGAGCTCCAGTCCCTGGCGGTTTATCATACCGTCGTCAAAACGTCCACTGAGGGATTCATAAAAAAGCTATCGGTTTAAAAAGTACAAACACTTGATTAGCGTGTGCGAGTTACGCGCGTTACCTGCAAAAACTTTATCAAGCGTTTAAATGGAATTACCGGTACGAGATGAGATTGTGTTTACCTGTATGACCCTCATGGGCAAACTGGTCTCTTTGGCTAGTTGTTCGCGGATATGCCTTGTCGGTTTGGGCGTTTGCGAGAACGCAGTCTTGAGGATTTCCAGCTGTTTAGCTTTGATGGTAGTTCTAGGCCCCCGTCGCTTCGACCCGGAGTTGCCGTCGTCGGGCGACTTGTTCTCGGTCTGGCTGTCGCGAGTCTCCGGGTCGCCGTCCAACGAACCCTGGTCCTCGGAGTCTTCTTTGAGATCCATGCCCGAATGAGGCGTCTGCAGATCGCCGGCCGACAGAGAGTTGTTGTTGGCTTCCGGGGTGCTAGGAGGGAGTATGGATGCCGGGCCGCCCGGTCCGTGAAGTCCGCCTATGTGATGGTGTTTGGTCGACGGTATCGAGTTGGTCTCGTCGTCCTCTTCGTCTTCCGAACCCGAATACGGCAGCGAGTCGACGCCTGCAAAATATAAACAACAAGACGGTGGTTAGAACGGCAATGTTTACACGCGTAAAAAAATGCTCGAATAAAAACGCTCGTGGCAGAAAAATAGAGGCGCGTGAGCCCTGCGACGGAGATAACCGTTTTTGTTTAGAAAATAATAATTGGTTATGCACAAACGGGGCAAGTCGTGCGTACATAAATAACTGCGGGCGGAGGCGTCGAAGCTCGCTCTTACTTTGTATACACACCGCCGCCCAAGGGTTTGCACGCGCCTCTCGTCACCCCCTCCGCGTCGCTGTCGGGGAGGGAGCGGTACGGACATCTCCCTTATGACAATATTTGTTCGGGAATCAAACTCGATTACCCATTCGCGCCCTCGGGATGTATGCGCACATAAATGTACGTGCAGTGGGATGTACACAAATCCCGTGTGTGTACGGCACTGGGTATCGTCGTTGGCGCAGTGCGATACGCAACGTATAATAAAATAGTATGCGTGTCACAGACTGGTGGTGCTGGGCACAAACAATGCGGTCGGGGGGGGGGTGTATCGATGACAAAAATCCCATCACGAATCCAATCACTTTTCCGACCGCCGCCGGCTTAGCGTGTAATACCCCGACCATACGATATGCTAAATCCCGTTTTGTAATTCATTCGTCTCTCAGGTATTTAAACAACGACGACGGAGAACAAAACGTTTATCCGCGACGAATAGTTGTAAAAAAAAGTATCGGGTTGTTGCGCTCAGGAAATGTCGCGGTACATAAATTAGTCGCGTAGTGCGCGACGCATAACGCGAACGGCAGTGGCCGAGGAAAAAAAATATATTACAGCAATCGTAAAAATACACAAACGCGCACATGTACTACGACGTAAGGTATAAACCGAGTGTAGTAAAATACTAGGAGCCGGTTATTACTGTCTTTCGGGTTGTTTTACAAGGTGCCGTATAACAACCGAGTGGATTTTCGGCGTATCCGCGTTATGATATACGTCCGAGACACATAAAGGCCGTGTGTTGTGTGCACGTGTAATATATTTCCAGAGGAATATTTTTCCTTCCTAGTCTTTTACGATCGCACCAGACCGTCCGGAGTCTTGTGGCCGGCCCGTCAAAAACGCGCAACAGTATTTACATATAACACGAATTTTTTTACATAATTTATGCCTACGAGGGACGTATATTCACTGTGCAGTATATATTATACGCAGTAAAACGAATGGGTAAGAAAATGAAATAAAAAACAACCGACTGACCAGAAAACCACCGGCGGAATACCTGTCAATTTTTACGACCCGTCTTAAGGTGTTCGGTTCGTTTTATGATTTTTTTTTTTATAAAATATATACGTCGGACAGTATTTTTTTTTTTTTTTGTTCGCCTCTCTCGTGTGTGTCGGCGGTCCCATTGAAACGCTTCTGAATATATACGTACCGTATATGAAATATAATGACATTATCGCCGTCCAACAGACGTCGGATTTGTTTCGAACCATCGAAACGTCGAGTTTACGATATTCACCGCACATAACGCGGAGCGGGAGCCGTCGTGCCGTACTCAGTCGGTTGTCATGTGCGCTCATATATGCGGTGCACGGGAGAGGGGAACGTGTGAAAAATACACATAACGCTTATGAATTATAACCGACTTTTTTTGTCTGCTATTCGAATTCCTCGTTTGTTATTTTCCCTCCGTGGCCGAAGAACAAAAAACTAATGTACGATATAACAATTGGCCGGCTGCGTTTTCACTGTACTCGTGTGCGTCATGATTACTCGCGAGTGCGACAAAACGCATTTTTTTGCACGCATTTCTACCTGCGACACGCGAGTGCAACAAACAACATTACAACGTCATATCCGTCACGTTGACGAGTTTACGATTCGCACACGCGTACAAATATTATTAATAGCGAGCGGAGTTGATCAGAAACGCAAAGTGTCAAACACCCGCCGCCATCGATTTGTGAATCAACGGCGCGTACCAGTCCAAAGAGAACAGCGTCTTCCGCCCGCCGGTTTTTTGTTTTAATTCCGAGTGGCCTCTACGATTGGTCAGCGCGGTCGCCGTCAAGAACATAAAATATGTGCGATGGGAAATAATTGGATTCGTCGGGAATGCGGAAAGAGCACGCGGGTGGTGTTGGAGCTCCACGAAAATATTATCCACGGAAACCTCATATATTTACTGGCGGGTGTCACTTTCACACCTCCACCTACCCCGAAATACATACGATATAATAACAATTATAGTTATTATTAATAATACACAAACGCCGCTAACGGTGGAATTACCATTTATATTTATTATTTTATGTATATTATGACCTGCGGCTCCGCTTCTACCGGAGTCATTGTTTATAGTCATTCTAATAACATTTTCGCCTTTTTTTCCACCAGCGGCCTCCGGCTCATCATGTTCTCGTAATAATTTATCGAGTACACCTTTAACGAATGACACTTGTGTCTCGTCGGCTAAAAGGTTCATTTATTTGTAAAATAATTTCCAGTGAAAGGAGTGAACGTTTTAGGCGTTAACGTTAAATTGCTCCAATGAGACCATCGACCGCTGAACCACGAAAAGAAAACATTTCATGTCTCGAACAACGTTCAAATTGATATTTTTAGTATAAAAAGTAGATCTGTACGCGTCAAACAAGAACACCAACGACAGCTTATGATAATGTTTAAGTACCCTTTTTTAAACGGTACTTGTAGTACGCGTCGTCAGTGCGTCGGAAGGTTCGGCGAAAGGATTCCCACTGTTGCCGCCGTGCTGCCGATAGAACTGTGAGCGTCTCAGGGACGGGATGACGTCTCCCCCGCAGCGTCGGTAAAAAGGCAAACGCACGACCCCCCGCAGTGGATCTGTGAAGCCGTCACAGGCCGGTCAGCACGATTGTTCCATCCACAGAAGAGGCCGCGGGGAGTTTCGCGATTTCGACGTTGCCCGTCAGACGTACGCCGAAGAGGTCATCATCTCGCGCGAACCGTCTGAAGACAATTATAAAAAAACGTTACTTGCAGATACGATCGGTTTTTGACGTGCACATGCACCACTGTTATAAACTACTGGGCATTTCAGGGGTGATGTGAACGCACAAATTCATATTCTAATAAATGTACACACTCGGAGGAGAGGAGCGTCTACTGTTCCCTCTGATGATATAATTAATCGTCTATCGCGCTCGTATGGATTAAAACGAATTTCTTCGTATGTTGATTCAACGGTATGTGAACATGATCGTTGTAATACATGTGCCTATAAAAAGCTTGACGTCTGGTTATAAATCACTAGCGCGCACGTATCAAACAAAAAACTAGCCGCCTCTTCGTTCACCGCGCGCGCAATCGGATCTCAGAGCCGTTACACTGTGGCCGCCGTATCTTTCCGTGTACTGAGCCCAACAATTTACGTTATCAATACAAATACGTGTATTGTAAAACGAAACGAGTCATCGACACTCGGACGGATTCGGGAGACCGTGAAAATCGAACGGTCGTATTAGAAAAACTGTGAAAAGATAAATTAAAAAACAAGCCGGTCCGGAAAATCACGCACCCCCATTGGCCACGGTTTTCTTTCGGCAAACTTTTTCGTGTGGCCCGAGCGCCGAGAAAATCGTTAGCTAAAAAAAAAAAAAATGGCCGAACGGCACACAAAAGACATTTGTTCAATAATAATATGGCAATAATAAAAAAAAGACAAATGAAGTGTTTTCGTGGCGCGTTAAGTTTTAAGAAATTCAAACGACATCCATGTAAGAGAGAACACGCTAATTGTAAAAATTAATTAACTACCAAGACTTTATTCGGTTATAAATAGCTAAACGGGCGACAATTCGTACAGCGATTTCTCAGGGAAAAACCGTTTTCACATTATGTACGCATTTTTCTTGGTATTTTTTTCCCGATATACTCGCGACCGTACAGCTAACAATGGAACAATACACCCGAACGTGCAGTGTGTGTGTGTGCGCGCACCTTGTTCTCCCGTCAGCGGCTACCGCGGTGCGGTCAAATATTACACACAACGAGTGCGTATAGAATTTACGTGTACATGATAATAGTACAACAATAACTGGGAGAGGCGACGACGAATATTTCGTGAGGAAAATGACCCGCGGCGGCCAACAGTGCTATCCCAACGTCGCAGACTGTAACGAAATTTCTGGCGCCTACTTAACTCACCGTGGCCTATTGTGCGACAGGGAAAAAAAACCAACACCGAAATGTTCGTCGTCGGACGCCCAGGCCAATTCGCCACCGCACACGCGATTTTTGTACTCGTAACGACAACAGCAGTGACGACCGATTGCGTCTTGCGAAATTCTCTCCATAGTCGCATCACAATCGTAAGGTCCATTAGTTTACTTTTTTTTTGACACTAATCAACTAGTCGACTCGTTGACCCTTCAAGGACACGAACGTTAAATTACTCACGCGTCTATTATTTTTTTTTTTATCTCACGTGCGTTTTGTATGTATTCGGCGTTTCCGACAACCGGTTAAACTTGTAAAGCGCTTTATAGCATATTTTATTAATATAATTCGCGTTGTTATTTATTGCTAATCTTCACGTTCGATATCAATTACCCCACTCGTACGATCGGACGGCAAACGCACATCTATCTTGTTTTGCACAGCCCTTTTTACACTCGACACGTTGTTAATATTAGTTCGATCTGAACTGCAGCCGAGAAATAATAGATAAATCAACTCCGCGTGACGTGTTCCAATCCGTTTACCGATACACGAGCACATATTCGATAGTTGTGACTAAACAACATAAACCATTGAAACGTGTACGCGAACGGCGGATTTCGAATGACTATTGGCGTTACCAGATTTCGTGTACGTGACTGTGGGCGGAGGGGAAACCTCGCGACTCGGTTTCCATAGTTGGAAAACTCGATTTGAAACTCATCAACGGATATCTAGTTATGCGTGGAAATACGGCAAAGGGGTTTTGTCGTCGTGCGTGCGTGCCGAGGGTTACTTTTGTGTTGTGTGCACACACCGGTTTTCCGAGGGGGCGCGGCAGCTTTGGCAACCGGCATACGTGTGTTACCGCCGCCAAACGAAAACTTCGGGGGTAACTCGTAACAATACATTATAATATATGCACGAGAAACGACCCAAATCGATTTGTAAACATGTGCACAGACCTCGTACACCTCGGCACGCTGTATTAATGCGCGTCTAAATGCAAATAAGCTTCAAAGCACTCACCTTGCCCGTTCTTTCCGGTGATGTAGTCTTCTTTGCATATAAATTTGTTGTCTTCGAGCACGTACAACTCCTCGCCGGTGGACAACTGTTTCCGGCAAATCATACACGTGAAACAGTTCAAGTGGAACACCTTGTCCCGGGCTTTTCGCACCAAATCCGTAGGCGATATACCCTGGGCACAGCCATTACACTTTTTCCCGTACCTCCTGCACAAAAACAAACGTATTAAACACTCGCGCCATTTGAAGAGCAAATAATTCGGTTCGTGCATATCGTTACATAGTAGCGGCGGCACATGAGTGTGCACTTATCGTGTATTATCGCAATTCGTAGTGATATTTTCATAGGGGGTGGTGCCCCGAAACGATTCATCATCTCGGCGGTGACGCGGTCGGGTTCAAAAGGAGCTGGGACGTATGAAGAGCTGTAGACGATGAAAGATTTAGGAGAGAAGGGAATGAAAAGAAACAATAACGTAGAAAATAATATACATACATCTCTTCGGGCTCGTGAAACGGCAGGGCGTCCACTGCACAGGCTCACACACACGTCAAGTCGTGCCGAAAAGCCGCACAAGGACAAGAGGGGGTCACGGGGTCGCGGCTCGAGTTTAATATTTTAAGGACGAGGACGTGTTTACGACGTAAAAAAAACCTAAAACAAGACGAAAAAAATGTCCATGCCCATTTTGTGTAGTATTTTTATACGCGACTTTTTTCCTTTTTATTCACTCAAGGGGTTTTTGCGCTGTTTGATTCACTGATGAAAAGTGACCGCGTTGCCGACAAGAGTTTTTATTACTAAATTATTTCCACAGTCCTTTGGTGGTGACCGTTCGCCGCACGTTGTCGGCCGACCGAAAAACGTTTACAAGCCCCGCGCGCATATAATATTATTATGTGTATACTTGTACCGTTTACGAGTTATTCGCAGGATTAGTTTGGCGTGTTATGCGAACGTAATACGCGAACGACATTAGACATACACAGCCGCGACATTGTATACCGCACACAGCTCTTGAGGTTTAGCACAAAAAAAAAAAATGTATGTGCGTTTAACACTGTAAAATATGCATAAACGACTACCGCACGAACTTCCACTTGCACTGAGGTTGTAAATTTCAGGATAATATCCAAGTAGACCGATACGGTAATTGTAACTGAATATGCGTTCAAACACACCCGACCGCTAAAGAAATACACACCACGTTGTGACAAAATAGTTACAAAAAAAAAAAAAAGACAGTAAAAATACGATATTCGATGACGATTAATTACTACATTTTGTGCTCTCTACATAAATGCTGTGATGTCTCCATAAAAAAAAACCGTTTTTAAAACTCTATAATACTAAACATGTAAAATTTAGTTCAGTTTTATTTTAAGCGCATATCATTTGGTTTGGAAATAATTCATCAGAACAAGAGTGACGTTAAATGTTTCGCTGGGCAAATTTGAATTGCTGCCACGCAGTGTTGTGTGTGCGTGACATTAAACGTGCGCAGCGCGTAATTCGAAGCTTTCGCTTTTCGTCGGACTTGTATAAATTACGGGACGATAAAATATGCAACACATGTATGCCGTTCAATCCGACTGAAATCGCGCGTTCAAAAACCGATTTGTCAGGACGAGGTCGCGTCGGCGTCGCATGAATAATGATTTTCTATCGAGAAAAAACGCTCGTGACATTCTTGGAGCGGCAAAGCGAGGGGAGGGACGACGGCGGTCTGGAAAATATGCTGGAAATAAACGTTGGCCATCACCCCGCATCAAGCGATCAGAGTGTTTTTAAATGGAATTTCGGCTGAGCATCAGTTAATAGAAACCGTTTATTTGTACGCGTATGTGTAAAACAACACGTGCGGGAGAAAATTTGGAAAGGCATAGGTGCGAGTCCGCACCTATTGAATTTAACAATTCGCGGTAATAACAATAACAATTAATCAAAAGCCCTTGTATGTGTAATAATGACATTATGATGTAAAACTGGTATTTACTCGGTAATTTCGTGTAAATTATCGGGCGTCCCGCGGGGTGTGCATGTGTGTACGTTTTTTTGTCCATCCTTTCTCACACACGCTGTCCATCGACAGCGTTTCCATAATCTTTCATATTATTTTATTTACATATAAACACATAGCAGTACCAAAACACACCAGTTGTAACACCATATTTTAATCGTTTCCAGGTCATATTTTATATTCGTGTACACAATGTGAAACGCGCGTGAGGCGCAGCGAACTTACAGCTTGTAAACCTGTACACCAATGTGCTGGTTGATATATTGGTGTCGTTTATAAACATTTATGTGTGGACGTCATCGTAGTCCACTCTGATCGTGCGCTTTGGTGCATTTTATGATTTTTTTTTTATATTTTCTATGTGGGACAAACAAAAAATGCTCGTAAAAAACGATGACGAGTACGTTTTACCTTTGCGCGAGCCATTTTTCAACACCTAATTTAATATCTAATCACAGTAAGCAATAACCAGAGCACAACAAGCACATAAATATGACGCAAACATTGGCCGTAGACTTGGCTGCGAGCACGGCGCAAAAACGAGACCGTGTGGCACTAGATTTATGTTGTTTTTTCAGATAAATAGTCTAAACAACTAGGCCCATAAGTACGGTCGAACAACTCTTAGTGCACAAAATATTCGCATAAAACACAGCGCGTTCTGGTTTACTCATTCAGTCACGTTGTCGACGGCGTTAATAAAAATGTTTTATTTTAACGTTTTGCCCAGAGTGATTACTCACCTTGTCCGCGTTGGCAAAAAAATACACATCAAAAGTTTACCCGGACAAAGAGCGAGCCGTTAAAATTGTAGTACATAATTGGAGGGGGTTATCGGGATGGAAAAAAGAAGACGGATGCATCACAGTTAAAACAATAGGGCAATGACGGAAGTCCATAGAAAAAATTGTCTCGCGGATGCTTTCATAAAGGAAATCGGTCTGTTTTCGATGAGTGGGTATGCCATGTATATACGCTAATAAGTCGGCAAGTGTATACGACACCTGGGGAAAACCTCAGGTTTTTTTCCCATCCGTTTCACGGATCATTGATTTACGGTGTTGCTGTTAAAATTATAACCCTACGCGTCTGCGCCCATCTAATAATTTGCAGTTTGATAAACTTTGAACGGCTGAAATCGCAAACTGTAATAAAAAAAAAAAAATACATATGTTCTACTCGGAGAAACATTGAATTTAAAAAAAGTTCTATTTCATTTTCCAACTGATTTAGATTTGATTAGATTCGATGAATACAATACTAAATGGTTTAAACGCTGTAATTTTATTGAAACGTCAAAAACTGTGCCCAAGTCCACATGAGTTATTATATTAAGCGAATGCCAAGATAAAACTTTTAAGCTTAATAAATTAAAAAACAAACAAACAGAAGATTTATTTCTTTATGCGCGTCGGCTTGCGGCCAAAGCATCGCACAAGGCTATTGTAAGACGACGGGGAAAAGATGGAAGCCGCCGGGACAGCCAGCCATTAGTATGCATACGCTGTGACAAACGCTTTAAAGTTCAACGAGGAGCAGATAAAGCACGTGCGTCGTCGCCGGTTCTCGCGGAATTGATTCGCCCGTTATTATTGTACGCGTTATATTGTACAAGCGAAACGGGTGCACAGGTATTGTCTCCCTGCGAAAACGTTTCAGTTTACAAATCCATACGCGTTGCAGAGAATAGTTTGGATCACCGTGTGCATTTACGTATACGCGGGTTACCACACAACGTGCAGGAGCAACTGACAGCGGACGGATCGCGATCATGAACGAGAGCTCCGTGATCCGCAGCTCCATATCACCGTAAGAATAACAAAACCGCGGTGTTGTTGTGTTTACAATAATAATAATAATAATAAAGGGATCATGCGTACCGCTCATTGTGCCGAAGCGACAGCCCGCGAACAAGACGGACAAACAGTGCAGGCGCACACAACAGTATCGTGGGGAATAAAAAGAGACGCTGTGTATATTTGCACAGACCGGATAAAGGCAGCTGAACGACGCCCTCTTTAAAATAACATTTAAAACTTATATACCTATACCCGCTGTAAGCACATAATAATACCGCAGGCGTTTTACCAAGAGGAGGGATCATGAAATGTATATGATACATGTGCGATACACAATACTTAACACAGGGGGTGATTATTGACATTGCTGTCGTCACCGCGAAATACGCTAAAATCGAAGTTTACATTTTCATACAATGTCATTTTACCGGAATCTTAAATCCACTTAAGTTATTTCCCGAAAAACTTTTCCGTGCTCGGGAAACTGTTTTAAGAAAGTAAAAACAATTTTCTTCCGCCATCGATTCGCGTAAAATACACTTAAAAATGTTGAATTATTATTAACTCCGTTAAAAAAAACAAAGCCGTCGACAATTCTTCGAAAAATCATTATTATTTTTTTCAAGTTTTTTAATTTTACTTTATTGTATTTCTTAGAAAAAAGTTCAGCGTAAAGTAATTCACATTGCAAACCGTTATTATATATTAAATTATGCACTACAATTTTGGGGAGGGTTAACAACGGGCTGATTGTTTTACTACCCTTTTTTTTCCCTAGAGCAGTTTTTATTTTTCGTTTACACTTAAACGGCAACACAGGGAAAGACTATAATATGAAATTCGAAAAGGCGTCGTCAATGCCGCCGCCCAGTTTTATGGTAGCCGATCACGTATTCACATAGCAGCAACGCCGTCTCAAGTGTATATGTGTGCACACCGAACAAATGGGGAAAGACTGCCATACAATAAGAATCCGACGGCGCCATTTTGTCCCGAGTCGATGCGCTCGTCGGGGGTACCGCACAGTCTTTGAATTGATTGCTATCACGCGCTTCAACATCCCCTGCAAGTCAAAAATAAAAATATCTAGTCCCCAAAAATAATTGAAAATCAAAATGCATTTCAATGTTCTGTATTGAAGAAATTTTAATTCGCGCGACGACTGAGTACAGTAATAAATTAGCATGGTTTTTGGCTTCATCAAACTTTTTCGCGTTTGCCGGCACCACCTTGCACTAAATTTAACCCAACCGATTGTTAACGCACATCTGTACACTGTAACAATTAGTTCTTATGCGCACTAATCACCTGTGTAGGTGTCTTATGTATAATATTATTGATATTTTCCTGAAGTTACGCATCACGGACATAACTGCGTTTATACTTGGTGTATCAACTCACTTTTTAATTCTGAGGCTACGACTAACATGAACGCATTTATTTTTTTATATATTCGCCATGACTAAACTACTAACAAGTAAACCATTTGCTTACCTGTAAAAGTCTGGTTTGCATAAAATTTTGCCGTCCCTGCTGTAGCATTTGTCGGACAGCGTGCCGTGACAGTCGACGCATTTAACGCACTCCGCGTGCCACGCCCTGTCCAACACGTTCAAAAGGAACTTATCCATAATGGGTTTGTCGCAACCAGCGCAACTCATCATAAGACTACTGCACCGTCCACCACTGCCGCCCCTGCCTAAAATAAACAACAAACAGTTAAAATATAAAATAGAATTTTTCAACTTTTAAGTATTCCGTGCAATGAAAATTTTGCATCACGAAAACTTCAAAATAATTCTAACGGTTCACAGCGGATTTCCATCGTACCAATTGAGGAGACTATTTCTATGTATTTATAACGTTACTCTTTAGACACGCAGTCGTTTCCGAACCAAAAAAAATATATATTTTAGCCATCCAAATACAACACATACACGTACACATGCGTATATTCAATGACACGTTCGATATGCTCCAATTTTTTAAGCGACCGCATCGCCAGAAAAACGAACGCGTCATTATTGGTCGCTGTGAAAATCCGGACACCGTTTCGTAATTCAAATATCAAAAATTATATATAATTGTAAATATTTGTGTAACTATAATTACACAACTTGTAATTAAACCATAAGAACAGTTAGAAATTATTGTTAACCAAAATTTATTGAAATTGGTCCAACATACTTTTGTAAGTATTTGTTATTTAAATACAAACTTTTTAGATTTTTTTACAGAATAACGATGAATTTAACATGAGATGCATTGTGAATATCAAAATTGCGCTTAATAATAATAGTTGAAAAAATGCATTAAGCAATAACAAAATTCTTATCCAAGTAACTTTTATTAGAATAAAAAAATATATATAACAAGTATGTAACAAAAATTAGATTAATTTAGTTAATTAAATATGTTCTTTTTGTTTTATTACTCTTTTTGAGTTTTATTTCATGAAATATCAATAAATTACTAATTATTAGTTAAATATTAATGTTATTATTGCCCATTATTTTAAAAAGCTTATATACTTTTGTATTGTCTTTGCATAATATCACTGTTTGTAATGTCATCACAACTGTAACGACCCATACGCTTTAGTTTATGTGCATAACTATTCTATTCCATTATATTAAAAAAAAATCCGTCTATAGAGTCAAGTCCGATGGACCATAACGAATGTGACCACGAGCCGATCGATACGCGTGCTTACATCAAGTCTCCAGTGCACCCGACAGATGAGATCACAAAACACAAGAAGTGATGCTTTTTGATATTCTCATTCTTAGGCTAAAAAACAAACTGTCCACGGTCCGCGATGACCACAATTTTTCCTCCTATTATTATTATTTTTTTAAGGCACTAAAGGACTGTTGTATGTACGGAGTTACGCACGAGTTATTGTCGTTAACCCGCGGCCAGCGACAAAAATCACAGAAAAACAAAAAACAAAACCTCAAAAATTATTCTAAGTCATGTTACGGTGACGTGCCTTTCGGAATGCCGTCGCGTCTTTGCACGAATATCTCATGTGGTTTTTTATACACACGAACGTTATCTGTCATACTTATTACCATCGATTGTTGAACATTAAAAAACAAAATAAATGATGGGTCGATTAAGTACACAACGCACGCGACAAAACATTTCATTTGTACCAATTATAGAGTCCGTTATAGGTGCGAACCATTAAAGGAAATAAGTTATACTAATAAGTGGGTATCTATTGAGTTCTTATTTGTGGAATTGTACACGTTTTTAGTCGAAGAGACCAACAAATCATTTTCCGGTAGAATTGACTCAAATTTTTCGGTTGCAAGCGGAAAAATACACGTGTTAGAAAAAAAAGTACATGTATTATTAAAAAAAAAAAAATTGAATGTAATGAAAGTTAATAAAAACGGCCAATTTTTTCATTGTTTTTAAATTGTCAATTCACATTGTAGTTACATCAGATAAACAAATAATGGTAATTTATTATTTCGAGTAATAAAATATTATTATTGTAAAAATCAACAATTAATTTATCCAAAGGTTTATTTTTCAAATTAATTATTTTTCTCGTTTATTTTTAATTTAATTTAAACCGTTGAAATAACTTAACTTTATTCAAATAATTAGACAATAATAATAAAACAAGATTCAATATAAATAAAATAACTTATAAAAGGTGTTAGAATGAATTTGAGTTAAGTTTAATATTCGCCTGCTCTAAATAAAATATTTATATTTATATATTTTTTATATTTATATAAAATACTATATTTTAAAATGTTTCGAAGGGATAAGTCTCTGTAATTGAAACTAGTTTTGCTCGTTATAAATTAATAAACCAGAAAAAAAATGATAATTCCTTATCTTTATGTAATTCTTTAATTGAATTTTTATTTTATTTTTTTTTAATAACAACTGTAGTTTTAAAGATGGAACAGTGCAATAAGCATCTCAATGTACAAAATGATGTCAAGCTACGAAAAAAATAAAAAAACATTTTTGTTATCACTAATATTTTTCTTTCTATTCAGTTTTAAAAGTTGAAAATCGATTCTCACACTTCCCTTGCCGAACAACGAAAAATCGATCTTAAGCGATTTTGGCCAAAAAAATAGTTCAGAAACATAATGATCAAACAACCTCTTTTTATACAAATTTATAATTTTTTAACTTTTAACTGTGAAATTATTGACATTGTTCCTACTTAGCTTAACTTAACTTGAGTTAATGATATCATTATAGTCTAAATTTTTAATATTTTATTTCGTTTTTTAACACTAACGCGGGTTTTTTTATGTAGAACGTCAGTACATTATTACATTGACAAGTATTCCGTAGTCTTCGCCTATGGTACATATATGAAATAGTCTGTCCTTCAACACCTTACACACACACACTTACACAATAACAAAATTACTACCAACACGTATAGGTAAACGTCATTTTTTTTTTGTTAACAGATTCTCTTCGTTTTGACATGCATGACTGACAATTCGACGTACGCGTACACTATCACTATAAAATATTATACATGTATACGGTGGCAGTCTTATTATGTACAGTTTTTATTTTACTCGGCTATACATGTCTGTCTTTTTTTATTTAAAAAGAAGAGACGATCGCGTAGACAGACATCGTGGGACACAAAAACTACATGTGACCGAAGACATGACTTACGGAACGTGGTTATATCCGCAAAGAATTGTGTACATATGAATGCATTTGATTTAGGCGATGGATGTATGCCCGTTTACTATGATTTGTATGCAGGCCTACTTAATCTATAAATTTCATGATTAGTACTCACTTATGTTATGGGTTTGTGTGACTGGAAATGACATGTGGAAAGGATGGGTGGCCAAGTGATTCTGAGAGTTTAGCGGTGACGTGCTCCTGTTGGTGGCTGAGGTGGCGTACATGGGTTGTTGAGACGCCTGTACGGTAGCTGCAGCTGCTGCGGCTGCGGCTGCAGCGGCCGCTGCCGCTGCCACTACGGACGAAGGTGACGACTGCGACGATTGAGTGATAGATGATTGTCCGGGAAGTCCGGCTACCGGAGCTCTAGGAGTTAATGGGTCGGCCGCACCTCCTTGACCGGGTGTCTCATCCGGATAGAACTGTAAACCGAATGTTGTGGCCAACGACGATGTGGCCATATGACCGTGGCTCTGTGGACCGCCGCCGCCAATCGTTGACGGACGGATACGGCAACTCCGAGCATAAGGGGGCTGGTGCACCGCCCCTGTGGCGTCCTGACCCACTGGCGTCGTGATGGCTGTGGTCAACTGGTGCCCAGAACGGTGATGACTTTCAATAAGGCTTCCGATAGCTGCTGCTGCGTCCGACGCTGCTGCAGTTTCGGATATTCACCGTATCTGTCCAAAATTTCATATACGGTACACTCAATTTCACTTAGCAAATATCCAAAATAGTTACTAATATTTTTTTCCAACACTTTCGCGATGACGACGGCACTATCGCTACGAACAATCAAAAAATGAATAAAAAGAACGTTTTACAGTTCAATGTAATTTATGTGTATGGGTAAATTTTATTTAAAATGTGTGCTGCGAACTCAGGTGCACACGGACGAACGCAATACTCGACCGACAGAATAAGCCGGAAACCGAATACTGGTGAGTAACACGAACCGGCGATCGGTGCGCTGGCCTCAGAATTCGTTTGGCCGTAGTGGAGGAGGTGGGCCAACGTGTGCCATTGGATAGCAGCGTATAGTCAACGCCCTGTTTGGTACGCCTTCTCTTTTAGTGAGGATTGAGTTCCGTCGTCACGACGACAGCACCGGACTCTCCTTGCCTCCTCCACCATACCGTCCGGCAGTTGAATTCTGTCCTCCATCCCCTTCTCATTTTATTTCCTCCGTCAGCTTCTATTATTTATTTTCTTTTTTGGCTCTTTCATCGTCTTTCACTCACTAGCAGACGGCAATCGACAGCACTCATCTTTTTGCTGTCCGTCTACGTCTCCACTGCAAACTCTTTATTTCCAGTTTCATTTTACACTTAATAGATTACATGTAAACTATAGGCATAACAAAACCTAATAAAAGAATATTATCATTAAAACCAATATAAATGTTGTCTTCAGGTGGTACCGTTTTATAACGAAACGATCTATGGTTCACGTTCCTTCTGGACTGTGTATATTTTATTAGTACAGAATCAGCTATTATAAAATTCGCGGGACTTCGGAGCGTTGTCTTTAAATTATTTTAATAATCATTTTACCTATTCATTAAACTCTGTTATAAGAACTGAATAAGAATAATTTCCTTAGGCTGTTAAAACTTCCGATGGAACATATTTTTATCTGAAAATAAAATATTTCTGTTTAAGTCTGCATATTTAAATAGTAAAACATTTGCAAAAATTAAAAACAAATGTGTCACACAATTGTGATATTTTAATGTTTTCAAGGATTCTAATTTTTACATGATTATAATAAGTTGAAATAAGAAAATCTGCCAATACTTTAGGAACTCTAAGATCTATTTTCCGGGATAAAACGGCTTGATCATAATTGATAAATTTATTGAAAAATGGTCTACGCTCAAAGTTAATAATATGACAAAAATTAATTTTTGCAAATCAAAACAGTTTTTATAAATTGTTTTAATAACTGTTTTTTGGTAGCATCCTAGGATACTTCATTAATATAAGATCTCTTATATTAAAAATTACCGACTAAAATAATTAAATTTTGCTAAGTGGAATCTGTGACATCCCTGTTAACACTCTCTTGAGCGGTTGTTTAAAATAATTAAATGCGTTATTCCTCAAAAAATAAGACTTAATTCATATCAAGAAACCATTTCACATTTTATTTTATCAGGCCCGTAAAATAAATTAGGAAATAAATTATTGGAATAGAGTAAAAAATTTTTATCGATTAATTTCACATATAAACTGATAAAATGAAAACAAAAGAACATCTCAAAAGCGATAATATGATTTTTCAAAAACATTTGTAAGAATTTGCGGAATAGTATACAATGCTGTAGATACGTTATGTGATTGAACTCGTCGTCAAATGTTGTCTTTCTTAATAAAATGTATTATATTATTATTTTTTATTGGCTACTAGTGAGAGTAGTCGGCGAAAACATATCTGGCGTAGTACATTGTCCTCTATGTCCGACGTCGTAGTCTCTCTCCGTAGACATTTAACCATAAAGAGCGCAATAATTGGCTTGGAATATAGATTATAGACATACATGCCATTCAGCGTTACACTATCACATACTACTCACACATGGCTGCCTAATTCCTATTGTACTTCATACGTATGTATAGAACGTATTATAACGGCCAGCCCGTCTCATTTCCTTGGCGCCAAATAACGAACCGCGGAAAACCGTGGAAAATCTACGTCGACCGAGACGACGGTGTCTCGACTCACTCAGACGGCCTTGTTGCCACAAAACGGTGTGTGTGCACTACAGGACACAATCGCGATTCTCTGTCACTTTCGTTACACGTGCACCCGTTAACCGTTACTCTATGCACAATTGCTGGCACGGATTTTCACATTGCGCTTACGGCATACATATTTACCGGGTTACATTTAGTGAAACGCAGTCGAGTCTCTTTTTGCGCATTGCATTAGAAACTTACGACATCCTTTCTCAATATCACTCTAGTCAAGTTTTATAACGTCCACCATAAGACTTTAAAGTTTCAATTATTGTAAAGCATTTTCCCAGTTAAATCGATACAATGCCAGTTGTTATCGTAACTATAACTAATTTGTTTTGTTTTTACAAGCAAAGGAATTTTACCTTTAACATCGCACAAAAAAAAAAAAAAACAACTAATTATGATGTATCTAAAAACAGTAAACCAAATCAAAAGATTTTCCATTGTTATTCCAACGGAGTACTGGGGTATACGTGTGTGAATTTCGGCAGTACAACTTTTGTAAGAAACGAGAACTTATTAGTTGACTTTTGCGGTTTAATGAGTTGAAGTGTTGATACTCTGAAAATATATATTCCCTATGCATATTACATAAAGAGAACGGGTCTGAATAATAAACGGCCGACAGAATACGAGGAGCTGTCGCTGTAAATTGGGGTTGCTGGGTTGATTTACAGCGTCCGCCGCTACGTCTCCCATGGCCCTTCACTACACGCTCGTTTCGGAGCATCTTCTATTATGTACATTCGGTATAAATATATACAGCAGGCAGCCGCGTTCTCTCCATTTGGCCCCGCCGCCACCCCCGCTGACGGTTTTTCATAATTAAAATGTCATTCGAAACGGCAGCGGCGGGACAAGTACAAATGACTAGTGAAAAAAAAAGCAACTCAAGTCATAATATAATACATAATACGCGATACATGTAATAACCGTGTAACGGACATAATTGTTTTTTCGGGGTTTTGAAATAAGCCGCAAAACCTTTTTTTTACCACAGCCGCCTCTGTTTCAAATTATAAACAAATCGTCGAGTGCGAATCTCGCGTTCAGGAGCAATAAAAATTTGTAGTGTTAATGTTATTATTCTCCAAGACGCACACTGCAACAGGTTGAACAAACTTTTCGGTTCGGCGATACCGATAATAGCTTGTTAGTAAATTATATAGTTCAATAATTATCGTCTGGACAAATGTAATCTCGCAACACATAGGAAGTATTTACAAGTGTGTGTGTGTGTGAGTTATTATTATAATTATTTTTTAAATTTTATACTTTTCGTTACACGAATTGAAATTTCCCGGTATTTTTTTATTCTAAACTAATCGTATAGCACGAAAAATACTGTAAATTAACTGAGCACTTACGCGTTATTATTGTACACACTCTAATTGGACCGGTTCTTCAACACCGAACGTGTATGAATTCGCACCGTAAAGCGTCGTAATAATGTGTCGAATTTAATTGTGCGTAAAATTAGAACAAACTATAATTGTTCGACGTCTAATCTCCGACTGGTTTATTTTTAGTTGGAAAGACTAGTCTTGTGAATCAAAGTGCTAATATTGCTCAGTTAAAGATTGCGCGCTGCTTTTGTATTTTACATCACAAGTGCCGTAATTAATGAATTAATAGTTGATAAAGGTTAGATATATCCAACCCTGATACATATGCGTGAAAAACATGAGTACATTTTGTGTAATATATTATGTAATTATGATCGTATAGAGCTCAGCCGGAAATAATTTAAATACAATTTTCAATGATTGTATTACATTTTTCAAAAATATATCTATCACTCGTAAAAAAAACTATCGATTAATGTTTTTAGAAATTGACCAAATAGGAAAAGAACATTCAAAATTTGGTGACTGTTAACAGACAACACATTTAGTTTCCTCAAACAATTGTCTGTAGAAACTAATGCTCACTCTATCGCAATGCATTTGTTGTATATTATAAATAATATTTAATATACTGTCAGTCAACTTTTTTATATAGTATTATAGAAAATTATGTCGGAAATAACACCGTCGCTTTCAATTAAAAACTTATTATTTTTTAAACGCATGACATCAAAGTACTATTTCAGTTATATTTCATGCTTACAATGAATTGTAAAAAAACTGAATCAAAGTAGAATATTATATATGTTATACAATTGGTTGATATTTTTTCTGGAGTATACACAAAGTTTTTATCCTATAGGGTAAAATGGAGTAATTGTAAGTATATTTTTTCTCTTAGAATATTTAGCAAATTTTACTTTAAAATAAAAAGTTCTCATCCTTATATGTGTCGCTATTGAATTAAATGTAATAAAAACTCGTGCATTTATCCGATAAAATACATTTGCAATAATAAAAAAAAAAAAAATCAAATAGCTGAGAATTTCACTTCTTGTTTAAGCCTATTGGAATATTTTTCAAAATGCTAATAAAATCAATTTTTCTAAATTTTCCAAAATGTTATTTTAATATGATGGAGTTTATTGGTATTTTCTCATTTATAGTCGTACTTTCATTGTTAATATTCTGAACGAGAGTAAAAATGTTTAAGATTTGTTATTTCTAACACCAAATATAAAGAATTATCTTTAAAAGCAAAAAAACCACCAGCGAAAAAAATTTGAAATTTTTCCTGTCAAAATTAAATGAGAGAAAATAATATTACTTCATATGAAATTTCAGTAATGAGTGGATGGTGGACTGACATGTATAAGGATTCGCAGGAAATAGTTGATGATCATAATTTTTTATCGAGTTCTACGCAAATCATGTCAACGAAAATTTGAAATATGGTTTTTTATGAGCAGACTAAGTCATAATGATTAACTATTATTACGACGTAACCGACAACTTTTTGAAAATTTTGCTAAAACTAAAGTTGCACTAAAAAAAACAGAATTGAAAAACGTTGCTAATATTAAGTACACCATCATATACCTAAAGTCGTCATCTTTATTTAATATGTTCACATCGACTCTAATCGAATCAGCGAAACCAAATATAATTCAAAAGTTGAAATCGGAGCTGAAATTTTTAAAACAATAAAAAAAATATTTTACGTGTCATAGTAGTAGTACTCGAAAAAAAAACTACTAAAGTCAAATTTTATAAGTAAAAATAATAAAGTTCTTAATTTATTTTGACTTGGACAGTTTTTCCCAGGCACCATCGATATAATTAATAAAAATGTGATTTTAA